TTCTTGATCCATTAAAACATCCTTATTTATGTGGGCCTTTGGCACAGCTCATCAGATCATCCACTCTCTGAAACAAGCCATTTTAGCTCCTCCCCCTTTAAGACCAACTTATTCTGATTGGCTGTCCCCACATTCTGCTTCATATGACCATATTAGACATCACAGTGATTTTTCAGCTGCAAGTGTTAAGATAAAAGACAGAAGTAACAAAGTAAAATGAAGATAAAGATATCTGTCGGGGTAATGACACTTACTGCATGAGTACGAGAATGTTGTGAACCTTGATGCTGGACATGGTGCATAACGTACTGAAAAAACAAAACACAAAGGCTCAGATTACTGAACTGGAATTCATGTGTAGGTTTGCAAAGAAGCTTAATTTCCTCTACAAGCTCAGGCGCAGACACTTACTAGACGTACGGAGCGTTACTGCCGATCTCCACACTGACAGTGTAGTTCACCTGCAGAAGATTGACACGATACATCACACCAACAACAGAAGTGTTTCAAGAGCAGCACAGGAAGACAATTCAGGCCATTATCAGCAGTGAAACTACAGAATGAAGCAACCACAGCAACTCTTTGAGCTTTGTTTACTGCTTCAGCTGAGGTGATCTGCAGACAGAAGGTTGTTAAAACAAGAGGGGAAAACAAAATAAAAAAAAAACAGTCATTTCCTGTAAATGCTGGGTAGATAACAACAAACATTACTCAAAAAAAAAAAAAAAAAAAAAGAGGAAATGGTGATTTTATCTGGCGTTTACTTTTAGCTAAAGAGCTGCTGCTTCATTGAGCCACAGCACTGAGCTTGACAGGCGCTGTACTTAAGCAGCAGAGCTGAGTATGTGGACTGTGTGAAAAACTGGCCAAATCTTCTCTGCCAGTGCCAAATGGCTTATTCAGTGACCAGCACTTCCAGTGTGACAAATGCTGGTTGAAGCCATCCTCCAGGCTGTGTGTTAAAGGAATAGTATCAGTCGTCTCTTCAGACTTTAATCATTCAGTTCTTTAGCACAAGGAGTTTGACTGCTTTGGTACATGATACAAGAAAAATTCTGGGTTACTAACACGTGTACTGTGAGAAGCACTTCAGCGTGAGGTGGATATGTGCAGCTGCAGCCGCTCCACTCGAGCTGACACACAACAACATACGGTGAACAGGCCCAGGCCACGATGCCATGAAGACAGCCAAGGGTGGAGTTAGAAATGTTCTTATAGATCTCACTGTAAATCAAAGGCCAAAAAACAGTCAAACGGCTTGTGTAATTGAATGCTTAAATAAGCTGCCATCCAGCATCCTGTTGTAGCTGTACACAACCACAGAAGTGTGGTGAATGAATCGTGCTGCGGCTACTGCGCTCTGATCTGCTGTCGATATTCAGTGTGCCACTTGTTTGTAAGCCTGACACAAGCGTGCAGGGGCGTTTGTATGTATCCCCCTCTAACTTAGTTAACTTCACCTTACCTGCTATAAAGTTAGAGTGAGCGGTCCTGACAACCACTGATTATTAATTCTGTCATGTTTATGGTTACTATTTTCAGCTGTGGGGAGATTAGCACAGCTGTTGGCACCAGTTGCCACACACCCACACAAAAAACCAACAACACTAATAGGGGAGCTTGCAAATTGCTTAAAAATAGCCATAACAGTGATATGGCTTATATGGAAAGGAACACTGACAGCAGTAGTGATAATGTATCGGCATCGATGGAGCGGAAACATTAAAATAGTGTACAACAGCAAAGGAGACAAGCATCTTGATTGATTGTACTTTGAGTGGCTGAAATTCTGTACCTGACACGCGCTGAGCGGCAGCACTGTGGTGACGTTGTGGAGCAGCTCAGTCCCGATCACCGTCTTCATGTAGAGGACCTGGGAGCTGATGCTCTGCACATGCACCGAGAAGAAGTTGGGGTTGCTGAAGTTGAGCGTGCTCTGAGTAAAATAAAGAACCAAAGACACACAGAGGAATAAAAAGACAGCACCTACAACACAGCCTGTTTTTGACACTTCTAGTTAAGTTTCATCAAAAGACATTCAGATGGCAGAAGCTATTATTATTATTATCCACGTCCATTTACTACACAAGCAGAAAGTGGCAAAAGCAGCAACATCAACATGTTTTCTAAACTAAATCCTAAAAAAATGTCAATGCTGTTGCCACGTTTTGCGGTTTCATAAAGGAAGCGTGGCCTGCAGAGTGCTTCAGTGCACTAACGTGCAGATCTGAACTAGACTAGTGAAGCAGCTCTTACACAGTGCACAGCTTAAATGAAACCTGATGATTGTTTCACATCCTCAGATGGTTTAGAACCACTATCGTGATGAGGGAGACAACATTTTGTCACTCACACGCTCAACTTTTACATGAAGATAGTCACATAGCAAAGTAGGACTCTGGATTAACCTCAACCATTCATTCTAAGATCTCGTATGTATTCAAGAGCGCAGGATTTTCTCTTCTGTCAAAAACAAAGAAAAGCAAATGTGTATACTGATCAGGTATAATATTAGGACCACTCTCAGGTGGAGTGAATAGCACTGATTATCTCTTCATCGTGGCACCTGTTAGTGGGTGTGATATATTAGGGAGCAAGTGAACATTTTGTCCTCAAAGTTGATGAGTTAGAAGCAGGAAAAATGACAAGTGTAAGGATTTGAGCGAGTTTAACAGGGATCAAGCTGTGATCGCTAGATGACCCGGTCAGAGCATCCCCAAAACAAAAGCAGCTCTTGTGAGCTGTTCTGGGTCTGCAGCGGTCAGTATCTATCAAAAGTGGTTCAAGGGAGGAAACAGTGGAGAACCAGGAATCATGGGCACAGATTGTTGCACATCATGTGCTTCCTTTCATGGAAACCATATTCCCTGATGGCTTTGGCCTCTTTCAGCAGGATAATGCACCACAAAGCAAAAGAGGTTCAAGAATCATTCCAGGAGCACAGCGATGAACCTGGGGTGTTGACTGGGCCTCCAAATTCCCCAGATCTCATTCCAATAGAGCACCTGTGGGATGTGCTGGATAAACAAGGAGGCCCCATCTTACAGCTTACAGGACTTAGAGGGTCTGATGCTAACATCTTGGTGTCAGATACCACAGCACACCTTCAGGGGTCAAATGGAGTTCATGCCTCAAGTGCTCAGGGCTGTTTTGGCAGCACAAGGGAGCATACACATTTAGTAGATGAAATCAAACCCTTCTTGTCAAAGTCATTTTTGCACACTAAATATTTAGTTGGTTTTATAAAGTGGAGCTCCTCCAGGTCAAAAAAAGAATGGAATCTTTTCCCTTCTTTACAAAACAACATGAGAAAGCACTAAACTGTGTTTAGCTGTCATCTGTGACGTTTGATGTTTTTTGTTACAGTTTTGGGTTTTTTAAAAAAAAAAACCTCCCCAAAATCTTGTTTGTGTGTCTATATTTAGAAAAGATAAATGTCCAGATGTTTTTGGACACTTATTCAAGCTTTGCCTCTGTACAGCACCACAGTGAATCTGAAAGGATCCAATCAACATGCAATCAAAGTACCAAGTGCTT